GAGGACGTACAATGGTTGACCTGCCTCCAGGCCGCTCTTCTCTTACTTCTCCATTTCAATAGCCAGAGTCCCTTTCTGGAAACACGGAAGGGGTGGGGAAGTGACCAGGGCTTCAAAGAGGGCACAGCTTATGGTGATCTTCATGTTTGTGGACTCAAAGGTAATTTAAGCAAAAAATGAAATGCCATATGGGCTTGTTTTTCCAGGTCAGCTGCAAAGGAGGCACCCATTAAAGTGCCAACAGCAAAGCCACAACACTTCCCAGGATAGCCACTGGGCTTCCCAGGTGTTTTTAAATGACTGGGATGTTCACAAGCCCAGAAACACTATGACAGGTGTATAAAATGGGGAGTGTCCATTAGACACTCCCCAGTGTCCATTAGATACGAATGGAGGGAGTTAGATTTAAAATTGGATTTTATGAATGCTAACACCAAAAGAAATGATGCTAAGAACATTTTTAAAAACACTCTCTCTTTAAAAAAATGTATATTTCTTTAAAAAGAAAGTTTCTGACTTTGCTTACTTCTAAAAAACGTAAATCCTGCCCCCTTTACTCTGCATAGATACAGAGTTCAAGGCTTTTGGGATCATGAGGTTACTTAACCTGACCTCCAGCACATTACAGGCGAATTTTGACTGGGCATTTCTACAGTGAGCCCAATCGCAGTGCTTAGCTAAAGCACCTCTTCCAGAAAGGCAGCCTGTGTTGATTTAAAGGCATGAGCAGATGAAGAATCTACCACCTGGCTTGGTAGTTTATTCCAGTGGTTAAAGTAACCCCCTTTATGGTTTTACCTCATTTCAAATTGAAATAGTCTAGATTTTACTTCCACCCACTGGTTCCTGTTATGATTCTCTCCACTAGGGTGAAAAGCCCTTGCTGTGAAGGTACCTATCCACTGCAGTCAAGTCAGCCCCAAACCCTTTTTTGCCCTGTGGGGCTGCGATCCCAAAGAGAACCACGTTATAGTGCCTGCAAAAGCACACAGCCAAGACTAACAAGAAGTGGAGCCTCCTTTCATGACCCAGTTTGAAGGAGACACACAAAGTAAAGAAATAGTATGGAAGGTGAAATATAGATGGATTTTTACGGTCATGTCTGTCTCAATAAACCAAAGTGTTACTACTGGCCACAAGAAAAGAATATTTTTAAACACAATTTTTGTCTTGGCAGTGTCTCTTTAAGCTATAAAACAAGATTTACTAACATTTTCCACTCTCGCCACACTTTAAACCTCCTAACACTAATGACATTAACTGTAATCTGAACGCACCTCCGACAGCCCCATGAAAGAAAGCTACTGTGGATAAAATCAGAAGACCATTTTCCACTAGTGTCATCAAAAATATCACCATTATTGATATTACATTTCAGATGAAGACTCATTTTGCTACTGCTTTTAAGTAATAAGCATCATGCACAAATACCCTGGCTGCACTATAGGATTATAAAGTTCACCGGCTCACAAATTTTATGTTTTGCTTTACAACTACAACTAAATCTTTAAAAATCTCAAAGTCATGAACCATATCGGAGGATTTTCAAGGAAAAACAAGATGAAAACTCAAGATCCTCTAAAGATGAAAAACCTTATGTGAGGGAGGTATTTCAAACAGGAGCAATCAACAGGAGTCATCAAACTCAATGGATTGCTCCCAAGGATTTAGTCAATAATTGCATTAGCTATTGGAAAGACAAGACTTTCTGTGGGTGGTATCATTGGACCAACCACAAGACTGGGACAGACCTCGATGAGCTTTTAATTCAGGGCAATGCAGGTCCCTAAAGTGGAATGCTCTGCATCAAAAGCTTGTTCATCACAGAAATCATAGGGAAGCTGGGCTGGAAGAGACCTCCATGGGTCATGTCATCCAACCCTGATCATCCCACTAAGCCATCTACTCCCGCAATTTGTAGGCCTGGATGCACAGGGAGTAGGACATGTATTTCGGCAGCATGCCCAGGCGGTGGCGTGTAGACACCTTGAAGGACTTGTCCCTGGTAGCCTGTGACAGAAGCAGAACCCAGACCATTTGTGTCCCCGTACAGTGACCTAACCACAAGGCCATCTCTCCTTGCTGGTGTGAGTGCTCAGCAACTCTCCTGGATAGTCAAACTCCACCTTCCCTTTCATAACGTTACACATTAGAGCTCCCTAGACCGAACCAATAAAAATACTTGTGGAGCATGGATGGCTCTTCTTAAAACACAGCAGGACACACTTGTTCATAGATTTCATAGACGTCAGGGCTGGAAGGGACCTCGGAAGATCGAGTCCAGCCCCCCGCCCAAAGGGCAGGAAGTCAGCTGGGGTCATAGGATCAAATGTTGCATGAATGAGCAATAGTTTCAGATGAGGGGACAGCTTGATTGAGTCCTACTCCTGCGACTAGCAGTTACCGTCACAAAAGGACCATGGGACTTCATCCTTTTGAGATCTACCAGGGCTTGTGTTTACGCCAACAGCTCAGGAACAAGACCCAGAAGACATCACTAGGCATACGTGTACATCTGGATGCACACCTTGCTGGGTTACTTGACCCCAGCAGTCTTTCCTGCCCGGAGCAGGGGGGCTGGACCCAATGATCTCATGAGGTCCCTTCCAGCCCTAAACTTCTGTGAATCAGTGCATTTTTCACCCACCAATATCAAAGGTGGGCAGGCACGATTCAGTCACAGAAACTAGGGCACTGGGAAGGCCTGAAGACCAAAGGCAAGGGGATAGTCTTTATTGGACCAATGGCATGGCTAGGATAGATTTAGGCAAGCTTTCTAATGCAATGCATTCTTCTGCAGGCCTGAGGAAAGGCAGGTGCAACAACGAAAAAAAAACGGTTTGCAAGGCAGTGAAACTGAGAAAAATCACAGAAGAAAGGATATTTTGATCAAGACTTCTAAAAAGGGTCATTATCACCTGCAGAGTGAAGAAAGATTAGCAGGAGACAGGTAAATTATACAGAGCGCCTGTTGAAGTGAGCCCTTGCTCACTATTCTCATCCAGGGTGCCCAATGCCCTCATGGAAACTATGTGGGTGAAACTAGACTACAACTATGCACCAGAATGAAAGGTCACAGGAAAAAGATGAAGGACAGAGACATACGAAAATAAGCAGAGCACTTTTCACAGGACAAACAGTCACTTCCTGACCTTATTATCACTGTGCTCAAGGAAAATTCACGAAACACCTTCAAAAGGCGACCCCGGGGACAAAAATTCATAAGCCGACTGAAAACTAGGGACCAGGGACTGAACGTTGCTATTGACTCCACGGCATATAATAATCTGGCAGAAGACAAGCGAGAGTTGCACCTTACAAACTCACCAAATCAGAGATGCAGAAGCTTTTGTAAGCTCACTTTATCAGCTGCTCAATGCTATAATGTGCTTGACTCCTGCTAATCTTTCTTCACACCACAGGTGATAAAGACCCTCTTCCCTCTTGAAAGGTCTTGATCTTGCACTAATCAAATTATCCCTTTTCCTATGATTTTCTTGTCTGTTACCCCACCCCTGGGAATTTCTCTCCTCTCCATTTTCACAGCTCTGCCAACTGGTTTGAGTCCCTGCGGTGCCTGCCTTTATCCTTAGACCTGAAGAAGAATACACTGCGTTCAAAAGCTTGTCTACGTCTATCTATCACAGCCATGCAATCGGTCCAATAAAAGATACCACCCACAAAAATCCTTGGTTTTCTCGTATTTTCTGGCTCATTGTGGCTACAAAATCATTCCAACCGTTCTAATGCCAAAAGTCACCCCAGCCCTTGTGTTGAAAGCCAGGCATCCACATCCATATTTAGGCACAGGAAGGAGAGTGTGCTAGTGATTAGAAAAACTGGAGACCCACATCTGCTAGGGACCCTTAAGGGAATTTTAAACTTGGAGATGTTGGAAGAATCAGGTAGTCGGACATAACGTCTTTGGCTCATCGTGGCAAAATAAATAAGGTTCAGTGGTTTGCAGGGAGCACTGATGGGGGGGGACTGTGATTCCCCAGTGTGCATACACACCCCTTTGGACATTCGAAATCAGTGGTTCTCAATCTTTTTAGCCTCAAAGCACCGCTCCATAACTTCTTTGAATTTTGCAGCACCCCTATTTAGAATCACTGAGCTTGAATCTAAATTCAGAAGAGATAAAGAGGGGGTCCTAGAGGTTAAAACGGGTTAAGAACCATTGATCTAGGTGCTGCCTGGCGAGGCCAGATCCTAACCCTGCTGGGACCTGATCTTTCCACTATCCTTCCCCTCTCTGCCCTGGTTTGTACCTCCAGGGGCAAGGGTAGCTCCCACCACTGTGGCTGCTCCTGCGGGGTCTCTCATGCCTCTGGTGACTGTCCCCACGGCTCCTCGTGCTGGCCCCAGGAGTGTGGGAGAAGCAGAGGGGATGAGACGGGCACCTCCGACCTCAGCAGAGCACCTCTGCTGGGAACACAGGAGGAATCATGGATCTAAAAGTTATATCTTCTCTGCAAAGCTATTGCCAGTGACGGTCCCTGATGACAGCAAAATGAACTGCATGCAGGCTGCAGAGCTAATCGATTCCTGGCAGCTAGTGTTTCGGCTTGCTGCCAGGAAAAGGGCAATCCTCCCTCTCCCCATCTCACCTTCTTCCCCTGCTGCACCCCTCAAAACCAAATAGCAACACTATCAAGACCTAAAAAATTGTCAACTTGACACCAGAAGGAGGGTGGTAATGTGACACATCACACTACAACAGGCATGTTCCAGCTGCTCCGATTAGTAGTCTGTCGGCAGATGCCACTGTAACCAGCGCCCTTGAAACCTGGGTTACACCGGCTTTGGCTTATTATAAGTCGCTGGTTAAGATTCAGAAGTGGAACTGACTGTCATATCAGATGTATCATGTCACATGCCGCTTTAACAATTCCACAGAGTTTGATTTTTTGAGCCTGCTTTGGTTTCTAGACCGCTGGGTTCAATACAGGCGCTGCCAGATGTCTCCGAAGTCCAAGCAAGACGCACAAAATCAGTCAGGCTCGTTTTGCAAGGTCTGCAGGCTTTCCTCTGACAGCTGTTTTTATGGGATCTGGGGTATAGGTTGTAGCCATGCTGGTCTAAGGACACAGGCAGACAAGGTTCTTTTATTAGACCAACGGAAATAGTTGGAAACATTTTTCTTTGCAAGCTTTTGGGTATAAATACCCTTCGTCGGGCTGAGGAAGCATCTGCAGTTGGTGTGTGCGCTCTTCCTGGGTGGAATGAATAGTAAAGCAGCCAGAGGCTGGTATTCAATGCAAGAAAGCCGATCAGTGGTTTACGGGATCTAAGCACTCAGTGAAACAAAGTGCACAGCAAGTAAATGGGTAAATCATCCCTGCTTTCTACTGGGAAGGAATGTCCTGTTGAAAGAGTTGGGAGTACTTCACCACTAGTGGCTGACTTTCAACAGACATACTGGAATAACCACTGCTGTCGTCGGGGCCAACTGAGCAAGCATTACTACTAAACATTCAATCAGCTCAAGCAAATAATGCTACTAAGGCTCCAGTGGGACTTCTACCTTTGTAAAATTGCCCATAAGTTTAAGTGTTTGCAGACCTGGACCTCAAACTAAGCAATAAAGTTGATTTTCTGAAGTGCAAAGAAGCAAGAGGGTCTGTGGGTATCACAGGACCTATTCCTAACCAGTACCAATGACAATCCAGCCATTTACATCTTTTTTGCAAAAAGCATTTATCACCTGATTTAACACCTGCCAGATTACACCTGACGCTGGATTTCAGAGACAGAAGAGTGTTCTAGTGAAAACACCAACAACCTGATTTTCTAATGATTTCAACGTGACTCAATCTTCAGTTGAAACAGATCCGTGCCTCTTAAACACACTTATGGTCTCCTGACCTTAGCAAATCTGTAGGAGAAGCTCACTTGAGTTCATCATGAAATATTAAGTTCCCCTTTCCTGAGATTTTCAAATAGTTTTTCAGTTCTAACAGAGACTGCCTCCTTAGTTCAAACGGTAATGGGTCCGTGATTTTACAGTAAAAAGGTTCTCACATTTTATCCCTCAATCAGAGTGCAGGATTAGCTAACAACGGTATCTGAATGGCCAAACAGATAATACAAGACCATTCAACAATGGTATATTTAAGAATATTCAATATTTGAGCACACTCAACTTCAAGTTGTAGCAAAGTCTATTAAAACAGGGAAATAGAGTTGAATACACTACTACTACTACTCTATAAGTAGTACTCTAAATCAAATTAATAGATTTTAAGATCAGAAGGGACCATGAGATCATGTTGTTGGACATCCTGTGTAATACAGATCATTGACATTCGCTGAATTATTATTGAGCCCAGTAACTTGAGCTTGCCTAAGGCGTATTTTTCCAGAATGGCATCCAATGATGATATGAAGATTTACAGAGAAGAAACCATTACTCTCCTCCAATGTTTAATCATGTTCTCTGATGTTTAATCATTATTCAAAATGTATGCCTTGTCCAAATTTGTTTGGTTTTAGCTCCCAAGAACTGTTTTTTGTTACACTTTTCTTCCCTAGAAGTAAAGGGCCTTTAAAGCAAAGATCAGAAGACAAAGAACTGGATTAGCACTAAACAGATCAAATTTACATCCAAACAGCATTCTGTAAAATTCAATACTACGCTGATTCAAACATAAAAGCTTTTATTAACATCTGGAACGCTGGTGACAAAAAAGAGAAAATATAGAAATGAAATGTCAGAGCATTTGCTTTTAGTTGTTTAAACAGATACAGGGCTAAATTAAAAACTAATACGGTATTAAAAAAAAAAAACACTAGAGAAAAATGTTCACAAAAATGTCACTTGGTTTTTCAATCCGTTCCATATTCTGAAAATAAAAGAAGCTGGAAACAACACGATAGTGCGAGGAGATACTCACTTTGCCTTCAGCGTTTCCTCCTGGAAATTCCACTGCGGGTCTTCCACCAGCTGCAGCTCTCGTAAAACGCTCCCCGGTTTGTAAGCGGCATTGATTACCATGCTGAGAACCTGATGAAAGACCAAAAAAAAGTACAATGGAAAGCTTTAATGGGCTCTCATGACCACACAACGAATATTAGCACTGATGATGTGCGCTGCAGTAGCATCTAGAGGTACCAATTTAGGGCTATAGCTCCATTGTCCCAGGTGCTGCATATACTTTTAATGAAAGAGGGCCCTATCCGAGAGAGCTTAAAATCCCTGGGAATGATACTGCTACAAATAGATGTTTTTACCTAGCAAAAGGGATTTCCTTTGAAAGCAACACTGGGGCCCTGCACCGAGGCAGACCTAGACAATACTTTGCATTGCCAATATATCCTGGGCAATAATTTGCATTCCCTGTACCAGTAACATGCTGCAATTTTGCACATATCATATCCCCCAAATAAGACACACACCCTGCTTTCAAAAGGCAGAATGGAGAAGAAAAGATTTTTCCAGTCATGGCTGACTGCTGACGGCAGGGGATCCTGTCCGTAAGGGCTGTGAGAGGGTTAACACTATCTCGGACCCTGATGGGGGCATTTCACCACCCCACCACCACCCTCCCTGAGCCTGGGAGAGGGAGAAGCCCATCAGACATCCTTCAATAGTATCTCCAGGCTTGCTTCTATTGCAGCAAAGAAAAATCTGCTTCCTCCGTTACGAAATATGCTTCCTTCCTACATTACGTCGTGGTGGACGTGGTCTTTCTGGACTTTAAGAAGGCCTTCAACACTATCTCTCACCTCATTCTCATTAAGAAATTAGGCAACTGCGGCGTCAATGCCTACACAGTCAGATGGGTCACCAATTGGCTGGAGGGCCGCACCCAGAGAGTGGTGGTGGACGGGTCTTTTTCGACCTGGAGGGATGTGAGCAGTGGGGTCCCCCAGGGCTTGGTCCTCGGGCCTGCACTGTTCAACACCTTCATCAGCAACTTGGACGAGGGGGTGAAAAGCACCTTGTTCAAATTTGCGGATGACACTCAGATGTTGGGAGAAGTGGGCATGATGGAGGAAAGGGACAGGCTACAACTAGATCTGGACAGGTTACAGAGGTGGGCAGATGAGAACAGGATGGGTTTCATTACAGACAAGTTTAAGGTTGCACCTGGGGAGGAAGAACCAGCAGCACACCTACAGGCTGGGGAACTCCCTTCTCGTCAGTGCAGAAGCAGAAAGAGATCTTGGAGTCATTATTGATGCCAAAATGAACATGGGCCAACAGTGTGGGGACACGGTCAGGAAGGCTAACTGCACCTTGTCATGCATCCACAGATGCATCTCGAGCGGGTCCAAGGAGGTGATCCTCCCCCTCTATGCGACACTGGTCAGGCCGCAGTTGGAGTACCGCGTCCAGTACTGGGCGCCGCACTTCAGGAGGGATGTGGACAACATGGAGAGGGTGCAGAGGAGGCCACCCGCATGAGGAGGGGGTAGCAGGGCAGGGCCTGAGGGGATCAGAGAATTAGGAATAACGGTCACAAGCTGGCAGAGGGTAGATTCAGCCTAGATATCAGGAGGCGCTACTTCACTGTCAGGGCAGCTAGGATCTGGAACCAACTTCCAAGAGAAGTGGTGCTGGCTCCTACCCTGGGGGTCTTCAAAAGGAGGCTGGATAATCACCTAGCCGGAGTCGTTCGACCCCAGCGCTCTTTCCTGCCCATGGCAGGGGATCGGATTTGATAATCTACTTAGGTCCCTTCCAACCCTACCTACTATGAAATGGACGGCTGATTTTTTGGAAGAAAGGTGCACGTGGTATGCAGGTTAATGCAGCAGGTACAACCCTATCAAATAAGGATGAGAGAATCTATTCTGGCCCAGTCCTGAAACACATTAAGACCCACGCTGGCCCCGATCCAGAAAAAAACTTCAGCCCATGCTGAACGGTCCTGGCTGTCTGGGCATCAGAGCACTCAGGTAATGACATCCAAGAGAGTTGCAAGTGATAGATGCAAGACTTAAGGTGTGTTAATTTTATGTGATGAAACACTTGTGCCAGTGCACTTCTCCCAGGTCCTCATGGGATAAAAACGAACTCAGAGTGTGCAACTCTTAATAGGTATACAGTTAACAGCTACTTAAAGAAAATGGACTAGTATAAAGGGTCAGGTACGCATTACATTTCCATCGTGTTTGCTTCTTAGAGTCTCTAATGGGCGTAATGAGCTGGTTTCAATACTGTTTCTCATCCTCCTCCCAATACTTGCTCCTGCTCCTCTCGAGTCTTGCAATGGATCCCCTACACATATGTTATTAGAATTGAAAAACTGACTGTTATTATAGTAGCAAACAGCCAAGCGTATATCTTTCTTTACTCCTGTATCCTTCTTGCTCATGAGCGTTCACTGGCATTTTTGGAAAGCAAGGCTGTGCCTATACTCCAGTTACAGAAATGGTGTTTGACAGGGTAAAGTACCTGGCACTGAGCTGTGCATACTACTGCTACTGGTAAGCAAGCTAACATGTTTAAAGTTATAGCGCGGGTATCTCCCTGATCTACCGCAGTCCCCTCTGTGGCTGCATTGTAGATATTTTTCCTCGGGTGGACAAATTTCAGCTCCAGCTTTCACTTCCTGCTGCACACAGCAATGTGGAACAAGCACTGTCTAAAGAGCTTGTGTAGTTCGTTCATTAGTGACAGCAAGATGCAATTCTTGTGGGGCCTTTGTACACTGCACCAGGACTTCTCATTAAAATAAATTAAATTAGAGATACCTGCAATAATCCCTTGTAATAATATTAAGTTCTTCTCTAGCTTTCCATAAAGGGACAAACTTCCATACGATTCCTTGCACTCTTCTCAGCCAATCAAATTCTGTAAATATTCCTTCCCCACCTCTCTTGTAGAAGTGTCTTTGCCCAATGGGATCTGCTGATATTGGGGGTAGATGGCATTGCAATGTTGCCCAGCCCAGCCTGATATAATTAGCCTCTTTTGGGTAAACTCCCACCAATTCATTACCAACCAGTATAGAAGCATGACTGCTGGTAACCCATCTACACTAAGCCTACCATCATTGGCTGTAGCTTCGGTGGTCATAAAACAATGGCCCTACTCTTTGCATAATGTTACCCATAATTCCCTCTCATTAATGTACCTTTTTAATCCTGAGCTGGTTAGGAATAAATAACTGTATGTTAGAGAGCGCTTGATCAATTGGACTCTGGCCCGCCTTACTTCTAAATGCAGCGAGCGAGGTATTACATTGCTGAGCAGGGCTCCCAAGGGGAGCAAGGCAAACCAAATTGCTTGACGCATTAGACTGGGCAGAACAGTAGAAAACATGACACACGGAAGTGAACAATCTTGCACTGACGGGGACAAGGATAAGACGAATTCAATCATGCTTCCACCTCGAGCTGCTCTGGTGGAATCCAGGCTCTCACAGGGACCGGTGACTCTCCCGGGTTTTTTTGTTTGCTGGCCAGCTGCATCTTGCAGCGTGCAGTTTTTCAAAGTCACCTGATTGTATGGTGGGGAGGGGGGTCACCAATACTCCTGATGGTACTAGAAACTCAGAGGTTCCTAGATTGAGAGACTTGCTCTTCCACTAAGGGTCATTCTGATTACCAGCTTGGAGTCAGGAGGGAATTTTTTCCCTATTGGCATAATTTGCCTACTTCTGTAACACAGAATCATAGAAAGTGAGGGTTGGCAGGGACCTCAGGTCACATCTAGTCCAACCCCCCTGCTCAAAGCAGGACCAGCCCCAACTACACCATCCCAGCCAAGGCTTTGTCTAGCCAGGTTGTGAAAACCTCCAAGGATGGAGAGTCCACCGCCTCTTTGGGTGACCTGCTCCAGTGTTTCGCCACCCTCCTACTGAGAAAATTCTTCCTAATATCTACCCTCAACTTCCCTTGCTGCAACTGGAGCCCATTGCTCCTTGTTCTGTCATCTGCCACCACTGAGAACAGTCCAGCTCCATCCTCTTTGGAGCCCCCCTGCAGGGAGTTGAAGGCTGCTATTCAATCCCCCCTCAGTCTTCACTTCTCCAAACTAAATAAGCCCAGTTCCCTCAGTCTTTCCTAATAAGTCATGTGCCCCAGGCCCCTCACCATTTTTGCCACCCTCTGCTGGACCCTCTCCAATTTGTCCACATCCTTTCTGTAGTGGGGAGCTCAAAACTGAACACAGGGCTCCAGATGTGGCCTCACCAGCACTGAATAAAGGGGAAGAATCGCTTCCCCTTGATGCTTGCTGGCAACGCTCCTACCAATGCAGCCCAGGATGCCATTAGCCTACTTTGCAAGAAGGGCACACTGCTGGAAGACCTGGTCCTGTGCGACTGACCTGTTCTTGATTGAAATCAGATTTTTTTTACATGTGCAATGCTTGGGTGGAATCGTATCCGGCCGAATGCACGTGCCAGTGATAACGAGCATGTGAGCAGTCAGGCTGTGGACATGGAAAAGGAAAAGGACCATTTCCTAAGATATGATGAATTAACATAGGACATGGTCCTTTTCCTATAATCTTTTAAGCATAGATTAACTAACTACGTCCTCGCAGTAGCAGGGCATGGCCAGTGACCTCGGCTCTCCTACTTTTACCTGTGGCATTTTGATACGCTGCTTTTTGGTGTTTAGGATTTTGCTCCTTGTAGGTTTGCAGTGGTGATTTTGTGGTTTCCATGGATAAATGTTTGCTTGCGAGCACAAGAGACTGGCCTTGATGGCCCAGGAGGCCCCTTCCAGCCCTATGTTCTCCTTTGTGCTTACTTTAATTTCATTTGCCACTTAGACGTTACCCACTCCTGAACACTTATCCACAGCGTGACTGCTCACGTGTTCATTTTTACTGGCACGCGCATTCACCTGGCTATGATTCCACCTAAGCACTGCACATATAAGATCATCTGATTTCAATCAGGAACAGGTCAGTCACACAGGACCAAGTTTTGCACTTTGCTTCTCCATAGGCTCACAGGGCACACACAACAGATGAATATATAATGTGTCCCCAGCTATGTAGGGTCTGGGACAAGCAGCTATTTAATTGGTCAGTCAAACCCTATG